GTCAAGCGTTGACAAAGACTACAGGAGTAGCCGAAATATTCGCCTAATAAATTTTAGTGTTTCTAAAGTCAACATCTTACGTATTTGAGTTTCTTTACTGTTACGTTATATTATATTCTATATATATATAAATATATATGTATAATTATACTCATATACGTACATAGCTCCAGCCGGAGGGGAGGTATAGCAAACGCAAGCTAAGGGCCACATAACTCATTTACATGAAATTATCAGTGTACAGTAAACTTTATTTGAACTTTGGTAATTAGTGGTGATGCTTATTATGTGCAGATATTAATTAGAATAAATTATTACTTCTAGTAGTATGCAATATGCTATTGATTAATTGGGTACTAGGCCTATGTTATATAATAACCTATCTTTCATTATTAATCTAAATCGTCTTGAGGTAATTATTTATACATATAAATTAATTGTAAACGGTAAAGAAGAGAAATCTCCAAGTGCGGAAAAATTGCCCCAACCGGGATCCGAACCAGGGACCACCTGCTGTCTATTTAGACGCCTTCACTAACTGGGCCATTGAGGCTTTCGTTGTAAGTTCGAATCTGATTGGAGACAATTCATTTCGCACTCACGGTATGCCAATACAATAGTATTTTGAAGCGCAGCACGCACACGTTAAACAGAGATCAATGTGATACGCCTGTTACGTTTATTGTGTACTAGGCCTATGTTATATAACCTTCAAAACCTCCGAGCTAGACCGTCCCCATCATTTTCATCATCACACAGTTATTTTTATACCTCCTTGGTTTTATGATGTATACATAAAATACAAACAAATGGATTATTTTTCAATTCATTTTTCAAATCACACACAATGACTACTAACCTAGAAATTTCTCCCGGTAGTTTCCATTCACAAACTCACAAGCTATTGCTATCGCACCTTTAGTAGATGATATATTTATAGAGAATACCGTACAACAATACTGTGCTTTTCTTCAAATGAGCCCTATGAGCTCTGACCTTCAAAGTTTACCCCCTGACGTTGTCGTTAACAAACTCGCTTCATTCAATCAAAGTTGCACTGTACAATGTTAGTTTATTATACAGTAATTTCAACAATCATTAACCCAAATATTTTATTTAACCCATCAAAAACTAGAACTATAGTAGAAAAGAGGTATTTGAACAGCGATTCTAAAATTCGAGCGAACACCTCTTGGCATTACACTCACAAACAACCATTAACAAAACAAAACAAACAAAACAAAAAACAAACAAAACAAAACAAAACAAACAAAACACAAAACAAAACAAAAGTTTTTATTTATAATCCCTCAAAAACTGCAAAGTGTAGAAGAAAACAGGCATTGATGTGTTAATATTACGAAATACGACAGATTTCATTATAAAATACGACAACTCACTTTATTAAAAAAAAAATACGACAGAGAAGTTGTTACAAAATACGACAGCTCTGTTGTCAATAATTATTACTAAATACGGCATAACATATTTTTCTGAAACATCTTACGACGAGATCTCTGAAGCGATACGATACTTTATCATAAGAAATGTAACACGTGAAGAGATAAACTCTAATATAATATATCCACATACCAGTGGTGTAGCAGAGAAGAAATTAAAGGGTATTAGTTTCCGGGC